ATCCATAAATTACACTTTTATAATTGTTGTTTTGTTGAAGAGCTTATTTATCGGGAAATAGCCATATTGAACACATGGTTGCTGAGGACGCCTTTCCCCCGCTACAACAAGCCTTAGAAGAAAATGATGGCAAAGTGGTTAAGCCCAGGTCTTTGATATTTTTAATGGTCAACAACATCATTGCTCAATTTAGTTATGGCCAAAAGTAAGTAAAAGCTGGATTTTTCAAACCTTGTTCACGGTAAAAATGTTATAGATGTTTGTGGCCAGTATTTTTATTGTTCCGTTGTCGAAGAATTGATTTCATCTTTAAGAGTTTCCTAGTACTACCCAGATTAAACCATATGCTAATTACATCATTACCCAGGTACTCTCTGGATGACCCAGAGTTTAAATACGTCATGAGATTTATGGATGATGTGACAAGGATCGCAGGCAGTGGTTTTGTGGCTGATATCATTCCTTGGAGTGCTTACATTCCAACTAAAGCTACCAGTGAATTCAAGAAGGTCACCAGAACGTTCCCGCCTTTTATGTATAAGAAACTTGAAGAGCACAAAAAGAAATTTAATAAAGGTTTCTTATTTTGATTAACCCAACTATATAAACAATTAACAATTTGATTACATAAGTTAGAAAAATTGCTAAACTGGCATGTTTCTTTAATCTTGTGATTGTGTTATTAAATTACATATCATGTAGGCCATGGTACAAGAAAAACGGTGGGGAAAAAAATAACGTATGTATTTGTGCTCTTTATTTGAATACATGCGCTTTCGCATGATCCTCACTCTCAAGATATTCATAATAAATTTACGCTATTTTGTTTACAGACAACTTAGATGATTTGTTTGATCATCTTATTTATGCTCAAAATTATACGACCGGATCTTACGATCTCACAGACGCTCGTATAGTTCAAACTGTCGCTGACGTCTTCATAGGTCAGTGTTATTGTCATGAATTTATTTCAATTTAATAAAAACACTGTCAATATTGTCATTGGATATGACTTTTGAAAATTAGAAAACATAATTTTGATATATTATTTTAGCAAACGTTTTATCGCAAATATAAAAAAAATCCTTTCACATTTATGCATTGTTTGATTGAAGAATAGAACAATGTGAACGACTGATTGCTTTATAGACATATTTGTTCTATTTCATTGACTAATACGAATACTAAAAGAATAACTTTCTGTTCTTTACAGCCGGCATTGATACCACTGCACATACACTAGATTATTCTATGATATACTTGGTCTGTTACCCGGATGTACAAGTCAAAGTTGCTCGTGAGATTGACGATGTTGTTGGACAGGAACGTTTGCCACTGATATCAGACCGACCTCATATGCCATATTGCGATGCAGTAATTCACGAGATCATGAGAATACGAGCAGTTGAGCCATTGGCTGTACCTCACAAAGCAATGGTCGATTCTTCTATTGGTAAGGGTTCATGGTACTACAATAGAATTCAATTAACATTAAGAAAAATGTCCGTCATGTTCTCGCTGACCGCGAGAGCGCCACAAGATCTACCCCGCTCCAATACTGCTTCATCCTACTCTATCATCGCGTTTACTGTTCCAAATACCGTGTTTACACAGATCATATGGACAGTGGGTGCTAACGAGAGACTGAAACACTCTTTGAGAGACAAAAACAAGTATGGTATCTCTCTCGTTATCAACGAGATCTCGGCGGCCATTTGCGAAAAAGACTTCCATCGAACCATTCTCACAGGCAAAACCGCAGGATGGTGCGTGACCCTCGTTACGCAGGATGCTGTCGAACCTTCTATTGATTTCACTGTAGAGAAAGTAGTCGATATCATAATTCCATTCTCATATTTACGCTTATAGATGGTTATAATATTCCAAAGGGTACCTGGCTAATGACCAACGTGTGGGCTGCTCACATGGATGAGAAGTACTGGGAGAACCCTGAACTGTTTAAACCAGGTATGTTTGAAACAGTTCGTTCGTTCGTTAATCTTATCGTGATTTAAGTATGAACGTCTATTTCATTGACCGGTTCTATTCACTTTCAGAGAGATTTCTTACGGAAAATGGCTCACTGAAACCAAAACAAGATAGCTTCTTTCCATTCTCGATGGGACGTCGAGTATGCGTGGGGGAATCACTGGCCAAGTCTGAGATATTTCTTCTTTTCGCCACACTTTTTCAACGTTTCTCATTTTCAAAAGTTCCTGGAAAGCCTCTGCCGACACTTGATGGCGCATTCAGCTTTCTGGTTCTTAGGGCGCCTGACTACGAGGTCATCGTCAAGAAGAGATTTTAGCATGATAGTCGTTACCATGTGTCTATTCTTTAGCATATGAAGTAATGAATAATGCCAATTTATTAATAATTGATGTGTGAAATAATAAAAAATAATATTACTTGAATTATAATATTCTTAGATATGATAGGCGTGACCAAGTCGTTTTATCACAACATAATAGTACAATGTATATTATTTCCTACAATGAATAATGCAGGCTGTAAAATTCGATATAAAATACATGCTTTTATTGGGAGTTGCACGAAACCAACCAACGGATGTCTGGTTCCTGTCAACCAGTTACTGCGCACTCGATGCCTATTACATACATAATTTTCCGATAAAGCACAGGGAATTAGAAAGTGTTAGCAATGAAATGAGACATGGCGCTAATTAACAAAACATAATCCAGTATTGATAATTTGTGTGTCACACTTGTCTCCGGACTTGTGGTATACATGCAATGAACACGATGTTCTGTCCTCGGCTGTACAACGCAGCTGCATTTGTCCGATTTGTAACGTCGTTTCTTCCAGTTGAGTCTGTTTAGCGCCCTCTATAGGATAGGGTTATGGCTAGAAACTCAACAGATAATAATAGCAGATTCTTGTTTCGGTCTACTGTAAGGTGCTTTTTTTTAACTTTTCGGACAATCGTTCTCAGAATAATTGGTAAAATAGTTTCGGGACCCATCGACAGTAGAAAGGTAGAAACTTTGGGCGAAAATAATAAAAAAAACGGCTGTTTACGGCCCGACCTGAATTCAGTTCGGTAAAATATGGTAACTCGCATAAAATGGACCTGTAGCTCCCTGGTTTCGCGTTAACACCACGACGAACAAAATAACCGACAGCGAAACCAAGTGAGCTACAGAACTGCAGCTAGGTTCGGCTGCTGTGTTTTTAATTTGTGTTTCAAGCAAGAATCTTAGATCGCACCGCAACGGTCCCGGCAGCGACGTGTCAGTGGCGGCTTTGCCGTATATTTTTGCTTCATATAATGAATACCCTAAATATCAAAACAGAGTATCTTACTTAATTAAAATTATTAATATTCATTCTGGCACGTTCGCTGACTATTTCGAATTGCTAAGGTTCAATCAAAACCATCGCGGTTGAAGGCAAACCCGAAAGCAACAGCGGTCGGGGCAGCACCAGTGCAGCGGACGACAATTTGTTATGCGCAGTATCGTTGCGCAGTAGTTTCATTGACGTCATCCATGTGATATACCAATGTAATATGCACTTGGCGGACAATATACCATACAAGTAAACTGTAGAATGCTGTGTGGGTAATATTTTTATATTGATTTGTGTTGCATTTGCAGCAAATAGTTACCAAAAAATAAGAAATCTATAGGATTGAATATACTTACACAGCTCATGTCACAACTTCATGTTCCGGGTAATCGCAAGAAATTGACATGACAATAGAAATTCATTAAAGACTGGCACTCCCATGCAATTAATAGCAAGTAAAATTCCTGGGATTGAAACATAGATATTGAAGTCACTGGTGTAGGCAATGAATAAATTCAAGTTGGTATAAAGACGAGGTAGTTTATTTAATCGGTGCTGAACTAGAGGCTGAAATTATAATAATATAATATAGTTCGTTGTCATATAATTTGTTTATTTCAATTTCTCCTGAAGTCAAATAGAATACACTGGTGAAAGGATGTTTTGGGGGTGTAGTTTACATTGTGTATGGAGTGGTAGCGTTGGGTGTCATATAATTTGTTCATTTCCAACTCTCATGAAGTCACATCGAATTTCATTTAATTTATTTTCGATGAAAAGTTTTCAAGCATTACGTGTGATCCCAATTTTCACTGTGCTGTGTCAAGTATCAATAGAGTATGAGGGAAATGGCATTTTCACTGGAATTTATTTCAGCGAAAAAATGTTTACAGTGAAAATGAAGTATTCACATTATTACATATGTACTGCAGTTTATTTGAATTCGTCCCTGAAATCAAAATCGGTATTTCCACACCAAATATGCAAATGAGGTCTGAAAGCAAACAAAGTAGTCCTTTCAAGAGTAGCTTTTTTCGAAACATAGCAGAAATAGACAATATTTAGAAGTGCGATATTTTACCCTTGGGTACATGAATATACTTGAAATTTGAACAATAACAATGGTACTTCTAGGCAGTCACTTATTTCACTAATTTGCATATCACCCATGCAATAATGTTTTCGGTATCACGGTCAATATGCAAATGAAAATGGTATTGGCGATCCGCTTCACTAGGATTGCCCTTAAAATCACTTTTGTTTGTGTGTGTTGTGATTTCCAGTGTTTTCGGTGATTTTTTTGGCTTGTCCGATTTCGCTCAAACTTAGCAGGTAGGTAACACCTTCACTCTAGTTATTAGGAAAAATGTGTCCACCGTTTTCATGACAACAGCCAAAAACTGATTTTTGAATAGCTTCTCGCTAAATGTATCACAGCCTACATTTCTATGATTAAAAAGCACGGACGTAGCTCATTCTACTTAGCTTGAGTGTGGGCAACAATTTACTGTTTTTATGTCTATTTTCATTACGGGAAAAATTAAACCCAACATTGGGGTAACTTTTCACCAGCAACGGCTTTTAACTCCTCTGAGAATTTTGTTGGCTTGGCCATGGCAACAGTCAAAAACTGTTTTTTTAACACTTTTGCCCCAAATTTATTACCTCCCACTAGTCTTGTGTCATAAATTAGTTTTCGCGTATTTGTTGACCGACTTGTTTAGTTGATTACTAGTGAATGGCTGTGTTATGTCTGTCATCATTTAGGCTCATGCCAGGTCCTGGACGGAACTTGACTGAGTGATTTGGAACTAATTACGATATAACCGTCGCCATCCGGACCGCTATTTCTGACAGTTGGTATTCGCAGTTAGTAATATAGTGAACGATCAATCAGTACTTATGACGTGTCCAGTACTTAGTGTGATTAGCTGTATGTGTGAAGGCCATGCCTTAGAGTCTTTAAACTTCTTTGTAATTGGTTAAGGTTTTGAAAGTGAATAAAGGAGTTTTAGTTGGTCTTGGCGAGAACACCACGAGAGACGCAGTCCTGGTTCAGCCTTACGATAGTCTTGGGGACTTTTCCCCAGGGCGCTGTGTCTTATAGAGTGCTCGACTGACCGACTAAATACGAGAGTTGATACGTATTTGACTGTACATTTTAAGTGACGTTCCCGGTCCGGCACCTCAAGCAGGCGAGATATAGAGACCAGATAGAATTTCCCCCTGACACGAGAACCCCGAGACCAGAAGAGAAGAATTTTCCCCTGATACTTGTAATAGCAGTGTTCAAATTACCATGCTTCTAATGACTGGTTGTTTTTTTTACGAACTTCGTATACGGTGCCCAGTTTTAGTTATAACCCGACGTTAGCTTCACGTTCAAGTCCTATCATGAAAACAGCCGAAAAACATATTGCTTGTTTTTTTAGTGGAGCGGATCGCCAACAAGTCTGTTTTCATTGGCAAAGTCCTTCAGCAACATTTTTGGCATATTAGGTGTACATCACATGGAATACTAAGATTGAGAGAACTTAATTTATGTTGACTGAGTTTTATAAACCCCGAAGGGCTCTTTGAAGATCCACCCTCAGTAAAATACGATTGCCATGGAGCACGGTTACTAGTTAACCATGCATGGAGGCGCAATCATCAACATCAAAGTATCAAGAGGTTTCTGCTGGTGACGTTACTCAGTTCCAAATAAAGATTACCAACGCCAAATGAGCAACATTTTAACCGGTAATCAAGATTCATTCAATCCACGGCTAACAAATTGAAGCAACATAACAAGCGAAGTTGTAGCGTGCAGCTCAGCGACAACCAGCATGTTTGCCTTCACCATTGTATTCAAACGAATCACGTGGTGTGCCGTTCTCCTTCAAACCCGGTATTTGTTTAATAGAGGAGTTTCTGTGAGAAAAAATCGCAAATCATGCAAATTCAGCATTTTCAAATCAGTATACTAAAACAGAAATGCTCAGCGATGCAAAAAGAAGGATAGATATTACTTTTCAGTATACACATCTCTGTTTATACAATTCCTCACATATTCTACTCCCAATTATTCCTGCGTAAAATGGAATAGCCTCTTTCCCATGTTGACATTTTGAGTAAAATCACGTGATAGGCTGTTAAAATTGGCTGTTACATACTCTTTCGCTGGTCTGGAAAATGTGTTTAATCAGCTGTCATTCAAGCAACAATGCCGATTTCCCAGTGGGGGTGAAACTAACTCGACTCTGTCATTAAAAAATAGGGGTGTTTTCAGCAAAATAAGAATAACACTGAAGTGCACACAATACACTAAATTTCAGAACAAATCTTGCATTAGTTACAGCACTAGAATACCACAGAAATATCACTATATAAATATAAACACTATATATTGTATTTCGACCTGAACCCTCTCTATTGCAATTCCAGGAATTACCACCATATGTGCATTCATTTTCCACCTTGGTATCATCCACCCCTGAAAACAAATACCACGCTGAAGCGTTTGTTAATAATATGTCATGTGACCGAGTTTTAACCAATCATAGCAGGCTTAACAGCAGTGAGATGTGATAATCATGGATGTTATACCGCCTGCCACTCAAACGTTAACACTGTCACCGGACTTTTTGTGCAGTTATTATTGCAGCTTACTGAAAATCATATATTTGGACACAGTCTCTCTGTGATTTGGACTAAGATGTGAGGAGAAAGGCGCGACATTGCACTTTTTAACGTTATCCGATATTATCGTCTAAAAATCTCTAAGTTAGACAGGTCTGTCTGGGCAACTATTGGGACAGTTCGTTTTTCTCCGATAAGTTATCGATAATGTCGTCTAACAATGTCTAAAAATGTCTAAGTTAGACAGGTCTGTCTGTGCAACTATTGGGACAGTTCGTTTTCTCCAAAATTATCGATAATATCGTCTAACAATGTCTAAGTTAGACATCTCTGCCAGAATTTCATTAGACTGTATTAGACGATAATTATCCGATAATG